GAAGATCAGGCAGAGCCCTCGTATGTCTCAAGTCCTAATCTTCCTGTGGATAACAAAGTTCTGTTTTGACCTCCAGTCAGTTTGACTAGTGCCAAATATCATTTACATGACCAGGATCACAATGTACATGGTCAGAATGACCCTAAACATGATGAAATAATTTTTTCAGCCCTCTGACCATGTACATTGTGATCCTGGTAGGGGTGAGACGAGTCGAAAAAATCCGATTCGAGTCGAATCCGATTCGAGTCAGAAAATGACGATTCGAGTTTCGAATCCGTTTCGAGTCGCGCGAAGTGCGAACAACATCGCTTTTGACCGTTCATATTTTTAATGCGTCAATGGTGGAAAGCCGGAAATATAAACAAACACAATTCGTCGTAAGTTTATTCTGATTTTATTACATATATTCTTTCATTTATGTGTACATACATAATAATTTAATACAAGCATATCCAAGTCATTGAAACTTATATATTCAACGCAATATCGAGTGAAAACATGCATATTGACAGTATTTTTCTGAATTTTTTTATTTTTTCGAATTTTTTTCTCAACTCGAAAATGATTCCATTCATCAACTTCGACTCGACTCGAAGCCCTAAACCCGCGCGTCCTCGACTCATCGGGTTGTCATCTCACCCCTAGATCCTGGTCATGTAAATGATATGTTGAACTAGTCAAACTGACTGGAGGTCAAAACAGAATTTCTGTTACTGTAGATTGGGTTAATTTGGCGCTACTTAATTTGACGATTTTGCCATTTTTGGCATATTGGCGGCTATTTAATTTGGCGGATATGCAAAAAATTGGGCATGTTTGGCTATGTTCATTTTTTCTTTTGAGGACCACTGGCGATATTCACCATGTTTGTACATTTTTGTGAGATCAACCTTTACATTTTGCACTTCGATCGATGTTGCTACTATACCGCGCTTTTTCTTTCTAGTTTTTCCCTGAGTATTAATGGTTGACTGACCAGTTCTGAGCCAATTTATGAGACTTTTTTTCATATTTTTGGAAAAAACTTAACCGGAAGTGACCTAAATACACTGGACAAAATACCCTAGATAATTCCCGGGGATTCATTCTAAATTTTGGCGAAGATTTATATTGCCGAATTTTACAATTTCGCCAAATTCGCCAAATTAAAGCGGGCACCAAATTAACCAAATCTACAGTATCTTACTAATGGTTCAAAAAATATTTAAAATCCAGTGGAAATTTATACTGAACATTGATGCCTATAAGCCTCCCATTATTATAAATCTGTCCGTAATTAAAAGTTAAAGATGAATGTTTGTATTCCAGAATCAAGCGTGGCGTGAAGTATGATGATAAGCATGAGCATGAAATAGGCACCTTATCACAGCGAAGGCTTGTTGCTGATGCATATTGGAGGACTCAAAAAACTGGAGACACAGTGAATTTTTGGACATGGTACATCAAAGACAATGGGCCCTTTACGATTGAAAACTTTAAGAAAGTTGCCTCTAAAGACCTTGACTGTGTGGATGAAGATGGCTAGCCATTATATCCCTCAATATCGAGAATACAGCCAGAACCACTCTTTGATATTATTTGGAATAGTAGCAATCCTGCTTGGGTTCCAAGACAACCAACAAACAAACCACAGTCAAAGATAGATATTCTTAAGGTATGTTAAGTGATTTAAGTACCCATTCTATTATGATTGATGGAAATATGAAGATAAAAAGGCTGAGCATGTAATTAGTGTGTGGGTTTTTAAGCAGTCTTGCATGTGACATATTGTTATGGTCACCAACTTTTTTTGTGTTTGGTGTTCAGTGGTCGGTGTTCAGTGGTTGGTGTTCGGCAGTTGCTGTCTGTAACAAATGACAGGTGGTGACAGTTTGCATGTTAATGCCTTGTCTATGATTATTGCCAAAACTCAAAAACCAATGGACTGTTTTATTTTTTTCATATGTGATGATATGTGAATACTTGATGGCATAAAAATGTATAAGTTAGGAATGTTAACACATCACATATCTTACAACAGATATCCTGTTATTCATTATATTGTTTTTCATCCTGATTGTTTCTATGATTTGTTTTTTATTATTTTTTTTATTAGGGGAGAAAGAAAATCATATTTTGAATCTGAACTGTTCACCCCAGATGAAGAAGTCGACCAGTATGTCATCTTAAAAAGATCAGCAATGATCTTACCCCTGTAAGTAAATTTAATAACAAAAGACATTGGGCCTTAAAAAGTAGATTCTCTGTTAAATATCAGAGAATTCATTTCATGGCCTATTAAAGTAGAAAAACTCATTCTAATACCATAAATATGAAAGCAATTAACATGTATTCATACCTTTATTATCCAAGCTAACAAAGTTTGGTTGGGATAAAGTGAAACCCTCCATCCATCCATATGAAAGTGTGACAAAATCTTGCCACGATTATCTGGGCAAATTATTGACTTTAATGTAAGAGATATATATGCACAATGGATAAAACTATATTTATTGAAAAATATGAAATGTTTCATTTAGTTGTGTTCAAAATAAGTGCTATATTCTTTTTGTAGAACTCAGAAGTTGATGTTTGTGGACAAAGCCACTGGAAAGCTGCTAAAGAGAGCTCGCATAGGATGGCACGTCTTGACCAAACTGGTGTATTTGGCTCTACATGCAGACATGTTATACCTCCTAAACTTCTAAACATGTTCCAAGGGGAGATATTCGCTTATGCACACTGTATGCACTCCTATGGCCAAGCCATTCTTCTACATGCCAGGTAAGAAAAAGTATTTAACTACAATATATAGTCTTATATATTCTTGGTATATAAGTGTTCCTTTTTTGAATACTGAGAATACCTTTTTATTATTAGCTTCAATGATATGGAATATACAGCAAAGCATAACATATACAGTACAAAAACTATATTAAATGAAAAAGAAAATTCCTGGTACAACGTTTTTTGTTTTTGTTTGGTGTATAGGACGCCATCTTGAGTTTTAAGAAAACCAGAAATTCTTAAAGATGTACACTCAGTATCTTGATTGAGAAGTGCATAAAAAACAAATACTGGATGATCAGGAGCTGGAGGTGGTCAAAATTCCTATCGGCAGTATGTATTTTGCTATATCAAGCTCCTGATCATCCAGTTACAAAACTGAACATATGTAATTCAGATAATGTGGGGTGGTGATTGGAAGAAGGGTGCTTGGACAACATCCAATGATTTACACATTTCTTTGCCTCACTTTTATAGGAAGAGAGGAGGTGATCACACGTCTCGTTTCATTTTGGGGAATGAAGAAAGTGAAGTCGCTCCTGGAGTATTTAACTCGAAGATATAGGAAGGTATCTTTATATAAATTGATCCAGATGTAACTTCAAAGGTTTTGTCAATTCAATTCTACTTGACAGTCATCTTGAAACTTAAAACAGATTTTCCACAAAAATTTCTTAGTTAACAATGTAATTCGTTTCATGGTTACCATGGTAACCCATCGTGATGTCATATGGGGTAAATAAAACTCTCGACTTGATAGGCTGAATAAATTAGAATAATCTTTCAAAATCAACCAATCAAAAATAGACTCTATATTTTGTATACACTTAGTTTTGTTTGAGATTCAGTATGGAAATGCAATATCTTTGAAGTTACATCAGGATCACCCTGTAACTGGAATATGTTTGAAACAGAAAGAACTGCACATTATCAACTACAGTAAAACCTGTGTATATTGAACATTTTTTTACTGAGAAAACGTTCAGGGTTTGTAGCTGTTCACTCCAGAGAGGATAATTTCTACAAAAGTCAGTAGAGTATGTGGGGAGAGGAAGGGTGTTAACTAGATACAGGTGTTCACTTGAGAGATGTGTCCACTCAGATGGGTTTTACTTTACATTGTAATAATTTGAGCTAGAGTTCAGAGTTCCCTGTGTTAATCCTTTATTTGTCATATTTTTCAAATGTATAGAAAACCAGGAATAGATGTACAGGGACTTCATTAGCAGCAGGCAACAAGTGATTTTCAGCAGTTGTTTTCATATAATCGCCCATTGTTTTGAGGGACTTTTCAACTTTTCCATGTTGAATTTATGATTTCCATTAATATTGCCTGCTGTTTTCATTCTAGTGGAACCCCTGGATGTATATGCAGGAAACAATCCTTTGCTAGCAATTTTTGGCCTGTATGTCAAAACTTTTTATTTCAAATAGGTGAGAAAATGGTTGCTGAGGCTGAAGAAGACCTTGCCAAGTACAAGGAATATGACCTCATTGAAATGAAGCAAGATATACTTGATCATGTTCAAGGTAGGATATATCATGTGATGACCTAACAACATGCTCCATTGTTTGTCGAATTTTTGTTGTTGTTGCAGTTGTCATTTTCAAATTAAGATTACATAATACTCTCAAACATTCTAATGTCTATCATTTGTGCCTTTGAAACTCTTAAATGGAATATCTGCCAATTTAATAAAGGTTAGAATAGATTTTAAATATTACATTGAGCCATTTACAGATTCATGTATGCAGTGTTCATTGGGATTTGCTACTCCATGGAGTTGCTGATTTGTAGTTTTATATAATTTTTCACCTTTTCCAGATTCTACAAATAGGTAGAATATTTTCAGCTGAGAAAACAAGAAGATGTTTTCAATGCTTTAAACAATGGACAACCAGACCCTATTACAAGAATAGTTACCGGTAAGCTATCTTATGATTTATTTATATGTTATTTATTTATATTTATATGATTTGCTTTCCTAGTTATTACAAAGTGAAACATTTGTTCCCTCTGAACAATCACAATAGTATCATTCTAGTATAATGTGATTATGTTTTTTGGAAATAGGTACAGTGGATTTGCATCTAAGCCTTGAAAGTGGGGTGGGCGCTTATTAGGGGATGAGCATTAATACTGCAATAATGGTTAGTTTTAGACATTACAATGTATGATATCCCATCAATACAAGATTAACATATTCAGGAACTTGGTTGTTTGAATTTTTCAGAGACAAGTAAGGAACGCCACAAGCTGAGAAGGGCCAACCAAAAGACAAAGAAAGCAATTGAGAATGCAGTTGGAAATATACAACATTGCCGCACAAGATATAGAAAATGAAGTACAAATAAATTCAACCGAAATGGGATGTATTCTGAAAGCTGATTTCCCATGGAGGTCAGACATTACTCTGGGGAAGAAAAGAGACCTTGTTAATAAGAAAGAATCATTTGAAAGACTTAAAGAGGAAGATGTCCTCCTTAAAAAAGAAATAAAACAATTTCTATTATATTACAAGTCTAAAGATACAAATGGAAATGTAGGAATGGAAATGGATGTAAACAATATCAACGATGCTACATATATGAAAGGATTGGTGGGTTTACCTTTCTTTAATGATGAGGCCTATGCTTGATGAAACAATTGTTGACAACACCTCGGAGAGTGATGATGATTCTGAATTGTCAGACTTGTCAGACATAGAATCAGACCAAGAGGAAAGAATGGGACAAGAAAACAATACACAATTTAATATTGTCTGAACTTTGTTCTATAAAAAGTGATACATCATTAAATGATGAGTCAGTGAAAGGATCATAATATTAATGTAAATTAAAAAGTATCGAAACTTTAATGTCTAAAACTAACTCAAACAATCCAGGTCAAATCTAAGTTTTTGAAGTTTCTCTAAGTTTTCTATAGCCTATACTTCATTATTTCTTGTGGCGTAGATTGGGTTCATTTGGCGCTACTTCATTTGGCGATTTTGCCACTTTTTTGGCTATTTAATTTGGCGGACACTGGGGCTTGAACATGCTCTGACACCACAACTCCCATATACACTGGAACAAAATATAAATTGTTACACCCATTCCTACAATTCAACTACTATATTTTAAGCAGTTCCCCTGAGCCAATTTAGAAGTGGCATTTTCTTATTATCACTTTTATCCTTTTTAGATTTGTTAAAACTGACTTAAACACACCAAATCAAATTCCCAGAGATCCTTTCTAAATTTTGGCGAAGATGTAAATTAGTGTTTTTGGTCTATTCTGCCAAATCAAAGCGGGCCCAAATTAACCCAAGCATTCATTACAAATTGAGAGGTCAAAAATTGAAAAGGCCAAATCTTGAAATTTTCCAATATCATTCTCCAATATCAACTTCATTTGTATCAATGTAATGGATTTTGTTGAAATTCCATTCATATCCACAGTATTCTATTTATAAAATCTATGTTACTTTCAACCTGTTAATAGGGAGTTTAAGCTTGCATTGTTTTTTTCACAACCTAGAGGTGTATTGAAGTTATTTAAATGATGCATTTGTATGGGTGATGGGTCATACATTGAGGTTTGCATTTGGATTTTATATGCAAGCTTAAACTCCCTACTATGTATTTTCAGTGAAGAATAAAACAGTAATAAGTTGAACACCTTCAGTACATCTAAAAAGTGTCCCTCATTGGAGGTTGTACTTATGAAGGTTCATTTAACATTAGCTCAATTGGTCTTGGTCAAGTGTTCCACTAGTATAGATGTTCTACTTTTTATTATAGGTGTCCTACTTTACAGATTCCACTGCTACTGTATCATAGAGCATATGAATGACATGCACTAATATAACTGCATGTAAAAAAATTTGACATTTTGTTCAATGACACTTTGTTCAATGACACTTTGAATACCTGCTTGAGTTATTTCAAGAGTTCTGGTAATCCAAATTTAGGGTCAAGAAATGATAGCTCTCCCTGTCAGTTATATACAGGGTGAGCCAAAAAAGTAACCATATCAAATCTTAATTACTCAGTCATCCTGCATGGGTTTAGTGTTGTAATCTCTTGTTTCAATGTTTTAAGTGTTGTAAGTGTAAAAAATAGGCCTACAGATAAAAAATCTGGTAGGATTTATGTCCAGTCAGTGAGGCACATTTTGGCATTTTGAGTATGTTTTGTAAATGGCCATGAAATTGTGGCTATCAGGGATAAATCAATGGCACTTAGTAGAATGAAAGTACATTGAACAAGGTTTAATTGTGCCAAATATGATTTTAAACCCATGCTGAATGACTGAGTAAATAAACATACATTTGGATGGGTTACCTTTTTTGGCTCACCCTGTACCTATAAGGCAACAAATTATTTCACTTGTCTTTTTGGAGTTCATATATTTGGAGAATATATAATTGTTTAAATTATGGTAAACTATGTTCATAATATCCACTTTGAGTAGCCAGCCTGGCAGATTTCTTTTAGGGAATCAATTGAAAATGTGCTGGCATTTCCCGAATAATGTTTTTGATGGGTCATCTTATATCTTATGAATGATGATGAAGTTCCAAAGGTTTTGGGCTCTGCATGTACAAGTATATTATTGAAATAAATGGTTTCGAATTAATTGAACTTTGTAGTTCTGTTTATCTATAATTTAATCTTTATTTCATATTTATCAGCATGTAATGAAGAAAATGTTATAAGGATACCCAAGTAATTCTTCTAGTTTATTGAATGAGGTGTATGCACTTTGAAAGAAGGAAAATCCATGAAAGTATAATAAACCAGATCCCATGAATTACTATGCATTACTATGAGGCTCATTGAGGAGTATTGTGCACAGGGAAGGCTTGGAGAGAAGTATTTGCTGAAGTGAGGATTTCCCATGTTAAAAGGAAGAGAATTTTCAAGAGACTATATCATCAGTAGATGAAAGTTTACAAAATGTAAAATACAGTAGAACCTCTATATCTGAACACCTGGCTAATCCGAACACCTCCCAATCTGAACACTTTTTTCGGTTCAATTTTTCCTCCCATTGATGCCCATGTTAAAAAAAACTTATAATGTGAACACCTCCCAATTTGAACAGTGAACAGTCATATTTGAAAAATTCACTTGTCTAATCTGAACACTTTTCATAAAATTTCTGATGTTTCATACAAAATTGCTCAAATATTGTCATGATATCAAAACTTTGGAAAAAATCTAGAATGGTGTCAATTATAATGGGGCTTTCAAGCATGACTAGATACATTTGAATCGAATTTTCAAATTTCAGGAATGCCATTGAAAGCTATGTGGTCAGAAGAACTATAAATATATATCGAGAATATGTTCACATTTCCTCAGAATCCGGAATATTGCGAATGCAAAAACCTTGAAATGTGAACACCTCCTAATATGAACGCTTTTAGCCGGTCCCAATGGCGTTCGGATTAAACAGGTTTTACTGTATAAAAAAACTTAAGGGATGTGTATCTCGACATTATTGGAAAGTATAAAGTCTCAAATCACCATGGTCTTGAAAAGATGCTTCCTGGGAATCAAACACCACAGCATCATATCATATATGAACACTACCATATAAATATACATATCAGACGTTCTATACTTCAGGGGTGTGCACGCCACCATACCTAAATTGGGGACATTATCGATAAATACAGATGGGGTAAAAGTCTTGGAGGACCTACATGAGCGTTTCAGATGATTAATAAATGCGCGAAATTTGAGACGCTCAGAAAAGCATGATATACATTTTCCCTGGAAATTAATATAATAAAAGAACTAGGATCAGCACTTTTAGAGTGTGTTCTCACCATAGGGCTGAGTATCGATTTACATTTAGACTGTCTAAAATTCAATGATTTCGTATACATGATCAGCAAATATGAAGTTTTTTTTATAAATTTCGTCATGCTTAGCTGAACAAAAGACAAATGTGTAATCCAACAGTCGAAAGTTTCCTAATAATTTCCGTTTTTGTGTTTTTCCATCCATCCTGCCCATTGGTTTGTCTCTCACTTTACTCAGGGAATATACGAAACGGTTGCATATCTTTCCAGATACAACCATTGTATATTTAAAATGGATTTATTGTGGCGATGCTTTTTAAATATATTTTAAATGGATTTCTTGTCCATTGTCGGAGAGTTATTTGGCCTTATATTGTAGTTAACGGTAACATGTATTACAGTTGTATTACATGAAAGAGCTGCAACAACAGCATGAATGAACACTAACGTTTGTCACTTCTATGACTGGAATATAAAGGTTCTTATATGAGTACCAGTGCAAGATCATCAATTCTTGATGAGCTTTGATGATCGATTCTTCTTTATCGAGTCGCAGACGAGATAAAGAAACATTATCAAAGCGCCTCAAGAATCGACGATTTTGCACAGGTACGAGTACAAGGAAGTTTTTTTCATCTTACACGTGTGACTTCTTAGGATGAAAAATGGCAATATCTTACATGGGGTAAAGCTGTATCTTGGCTAGTCAGGAGAAAACGTAATCTAATATACCGTTACAGGGTGGTCAAAAAATGGAAACCATGCGTCTTCCTCATATCTTTGTCATTATAGAAAATTACTACCTGATATTTTACACCTTTGTACAACATTCCATTTCCAACTAGCCTAGCATATTACATGACCATCAGCCTAATAGTCACAATATAACAGAACTTTGAACATGCTGCATGCTGCATGCAAACCTGCACACGTGGTCAATGACCCGACTTTATTCCTTAGAGCCTATGGCCTGAATGACACAGATAATCTCCCTTTTAAGGTCTGCAATTGTTCCGATGAGGCCATTCTTGTACACTTTGTCTTCGGTATATCCCTACAGGTAAAAGGAAAGTAACCCGAGATAAGGACATTTTGAATTACTTGAGCATGTTTGCCTACAGCGCAATGGTGAGATATGATGAAAATAGTGGCAGGGCTTCCAATTTTTTTACCACCCTGTACCTGCAATACGCTATACATCAGAACCTTCTTTTAGCGTGGTACATAGCCTACCATACTTGACTTCATGGTGTATTCGGTTGAAAACGAGACTGTAAGTGGATATTGCAGATGACCGGGAATAACCATAGATCATGTGGTCGGTTTCAATGAGAAACATTTCACTCATGTCACAAATATTGTAAGATTATTCAATACATAAATTATGATGCAAATCGTCAAATTTTTAAAGGCCTAGCTATTCATTTCGGCCATTTTTCATTTCTTATGTCAAAGTTTTAAACAAGGCATTAACATGACAAAATGTCACCACCTAAAACAATTTGGTCAATTTAAAGCAAGTTGGAAAATACCTTTTGACCTTAAGAAGGTTTGATTTGAACTTCTTAGAACATGTAGATGATTTTGAAAAAAAAATTCGTCAATTTGAAGCAAGTTGAAAAAATACCTCTTTGACTTTTTTTGACATCGAGAAGGTCATTGAAGGTCAAATGTCAAATGTAAAGTCAGATTTGAACTTCTGAGAACATGTAGATGATTTTGAAAAAAAAATTAAGTAAATTTGAAGCAAGTTGAAAAAAGACCTTTTTGACCTTTTCAAGGTCATTGAAGGTCAAATGTCAAATCTAAAGTCAGATTTGAACTTCTGAGAACATGTAGATGATTTTGAAAAAAAATTAGTCAATTTGAAGCAAGTTGAAAAAAGACCTTTTTGACCTTGAGAAGGTCATTGAAGGTCAAAGGTCAAATTTAAAGTCAGATTTGAACTTCTGAGAACTTGTTAAGTCAAATTTGAACTTCTGAAAAGATGTAGATGATTTTGAAAAAAAAATTTGGTCAATTTGAAGCAAGTTGAAAACAGAGCTTTTTGACCTTTTTTTACCTTGAGAAGGTCATTAAAGGTCAAATGTCAAATCTAAATTCAGATTTGAATTTCTGAGAACATGTAGATGATTTTGAAAAAAAAAATTAGTC